TACACTGGCTGTTGCACAGTTAACAGACAGGTTTTTCCTCTTTTCTCAATTCTGAGAACAACCCAAACAATTCAGCTTTCCTAGAACCAAAAATAAACCCCACTAGTTGAATAGTAGCTCACCAATTCAACTTGCTCTATCGTTCACAGGCTCTCTGCCTGCTTTCTACTTCCTTCACTTTTGAAGGTAAGAGAAAATATATTACATTTAACACTAATAATTACTCATGACAAGCTTTATAGAACCTCTTAAAAAAACTGTATTCAGATGTTGTTAAATATATAAATTTAAAAAACATGTTAGCATTATAGTGTGACTGAATTGTGTCTTTCTGTTTGATTCTTTAGCAGGTTAATAGGATTATTTAGTTTTTAGGAGGTAGAGCAGGTCATCTGCTAAGTGGAATGTTGGTGGTTTGATAGATCAGAAGAGAACACTATAAGAACCAGTCTAATTATAAAATATTTTCAAAGCGTCTTTCTATGTTATATTAAATAAACGTTGTCCAAGATGTTTTCCTTTCTACTGGGTGTCATGTTATGCTATTTAAGTAGAAAGGCAATGTCTTTTAAATGAGTTAACACATATAAACCCCTCACATATAGCATTGATTATACTTTGTCCTCAAGGGCAATGCAGTCCCCAGATTACATCACCAAGGTTGCTTTTGAAATGGTGGATAGTGTTTTGTTGTAGGCTTCTTTGTAACATTGTTTACATTCTTAGATTTACTCACCTGAATGTTTCTCCACTCACTGAATCCACAGATTGTTCTTCATTAAAGATGAATTACAGACTGAAAAAATCCAGGGTTCTAATTTCCCTACTCCTGTGCATCGCAGTGATGCCTATGTTTTTCAGTCCTTCATGGAATTTATCTGTTTACTCCTTTGGGCCCTGGAAGTCAAGCTTTTGTTCCTGTCTCAAATGTATAAGAGATGGTGATCCTTGGTTTAGGGAACAGATTGATGCATCTCCTGAACCCTTTTTGCCAAGAAAACACAGCATCTCAGAGAATGATTTCCTCTGGTGGAAGGTAAATTAAATGATCACTAAACAAAACAAATGTTGATTAACTTTGCATTTCATTATATTTTTCCAACTGTTGAAGCCACTGGAAAACATATACTTGGAACGTGTGAGATATCCATCTATATATATATATTCAATGTTGACAAAATAGTGTAAAACTTGCTGGTTACCAGTTCCATTAACTTTATTAACTTTCCTCTGTTATGTCTGTCAGAAAATAAAGCAGGAAAAATACGACTTCGCTTTCTTCAATGCAACAGTAGACAAGGTGTTTGAGATGCTACCGATCATTTCAGAAGATGTAGAACCCAAGCCTGATCGCTGCAGGGTTTGTGCTGTAGTGGGGAATTCTGGTAATTTGAATGGATCACGTTATGGACCTCTGATTGATTTGCATGATTTCGTAATAAGGTAAGATAGAATACAATCAAACATTCACTTTTACTTAGAGTTGACTATTATGTTGTTTAGGGGTGCAACGATACACAAAATTCTCGGTTCGGTTC